TTGAGATTTCAGAAATACTTCAACCTGGTTTACCTTGGACGTGGTCCAACTGACAATGTCCGAAGCAGTTCTACCTCCTTCGTAATCGATGGCGTCAGTTTCCGTTGAACCAGGAGCGAAGTATTTGATCGTGGGAAACCCACGGATTCCGAATCTGCTTGCGGTGATGGTGTGAACAGTAGCATCAAGAGCTCCAACCTTAATTATCTTAATTATCTAAACCGAACAAAATAAAACAATAGGTGGAAGTGACGATTTTCATGCCCTCGTCGAAAGTCGGATCACAACTTGAATGAAATTCTTCTCGAACGAAGATAAACAGAATAGTGGCACCGTCCCGAAACGCCTGGCGTGCATTACGCGCGCCGACGACTTTTGTGTGGACGACAGACATTTTCTTCTCAAGCGAATATAATATCCGCGTTGAAATCAGAGTACTCCCGAGGGGAAATTCCCACCTCGAGGAGTGCGAAAGTAATGGGTCAACGTGTCAATTCCTCTAATACAGCCGTCATGTGAACATCATTATTCTTTGGGTCTCATCTATAATACTAACTAGTACCAACTCGTACCAACTCGTACCGACAAAGTAAGGTCGTACCAACTCATAATAATAGATTTATGTAAGCAAAAACGAAGCTCGACCTCATCCTACACAATGAAAGTTGAAGTAACCCTCAGTATTTACTATGAAAAGAGATTTAACCTCCAGACAAAAAGACGCTTAAAATTCACGTAGAATTACGTAGGAAAGAGTAACGAGAAGAGTGACTCAAGAAATAGCCAAAAAAAGAAATTTTCCACCGTAGATAAAGGTGAAAATGAAAGCCTACTTCTTAACGGTGCATTAGCTATGAATTAAGTGAAGCTCGCGCCGTAGACGTGTGTTTGTGACGACACATTATTGAGTACATCTCTAGGACAGTGTGAATGAATTGCTATATGTGCATGCAGTATGCCCTACGACCACGAGCATACTGACTGGCTCCAGAAGTCACTGGGTAGGACTATATGTAGGTTTCCAGGGGTCGCTACCATCAGCAGGATTCGACTGTGGTATACCAGAACGGAAATGATCAACATAGAATGTTTGAATACCCAGATATAATAATAAAAAGTGTTTGAAGGCGCTACGATGTTTCCCACATCATACGACTGGCATTTTCTATCTTGAAATAGTAATGCAGGAAAGACCCACCTTATACGAAAAAGGGGCGAAGCCAGCCGATCCGAATGGCCCTCTTCCTTATGTGGGGGAAGACCCACTTCTCATATAAGGATCGGGCAGTAATTATCTTCAGAATCTGGTCTGAGCAATGGCTTACATTTCCTTCTTTCTAGGATTCCCCTGAGTCGTGCGAATCAGTAAACCTCTGCTAGACCACGATCGTTGCCTTCAGTCGTAAAACATTTCGAATTGACGACAACAATTCCTTCACGAAGCGCACCGCAGTCAAATCTGTAGAACCTTTTCCATAAATCCCTTGGCTAAATGTACTTTTTGTACATCCGGTGTCAAAGCCCTTAGCACCTTTCACGATATTTTGGATGCTCCTGGAAAGGATTCGCATATCCTTTGCTATCGAACCCAAGTTGCCGTTCTCGAGAATCTCTTTCTAATAAGTGAATGAGGCTTCAGTGCACTGACTGATCGCAGTTGGCAGTGTTTTTTTCATACGTGCAATTTCTTCAGTCATACGCTGACAGACTTTCTTCTGGTTGATACGTAAAAGTTTCCGTTGGCAAGTGACGGATATCCCCACCTCAGGATGAACAAGATATGCGGTCACCTTCACAAGGGAGAAATCGCGCAACAACAGCCAACTTGAAAGGTAGCATGTTCTTAGAAAGTACAAAACATTTCTATGACGAAACTGCCAACGTAGTTTGAATACACGAAAAATGGGAAACAAGACGACCACCCTGCATATGAGACAACCACTGAGTGCATTCTGAGCCAATGACGAGCTCTCGGATGGCAGCTGAATGTGAAACGGCTGGGTGAGGGGGAGGGACAGGTGTGGCGAAGTGGAGTTAGTAGGAGGCACGATGAGGGGGTGCGGCGCTCACTCTTGAAATGGAGCACGATGCAAGTGCGGAGCCAGAAGCATCAGTGGCCTAATGCCTGGCGCATTCAGAAATGAAGTTAATGGGCGCTATAATAACTATTGCTTACTTCTATTGAAGGAGAAACCCGTACTAGATTCATTCTTGTATACTCATTACGCCCACTTGAAACCGTACACGGAAAACGGGTTTTTCTCGGGCTCGAAGTTTTCTCCAAAAAATCGGCAACGCATTCACCTCATGGACCCCGGAAACTTCAGGAACCATTTAGGTGCTTCTTGGAAAGAGGAAATATTTCTCTTTCAAAACTGCTGTTGTATTTGCAAGCAGTTCAGTTGGAAGAAAATTATCTTCGTCCAAAGCAGAACAGTTCGCATCAAGTTTCGTGAGTCCTAAACTGAATTTCCTATCAAGCCACCTTTCAGGGGGGGGGGGTCGTACGGACCCGACCAGAATCCGCATGATAATGTGCCCTGGTCAGCTGACAAAATATCGCATTGACAAGTCTATTAATGTTTCAAGACATGCTGTATGAAGTGTGACGAGCTTATAGAACGAAAGGAACTTCTCTTGAAATAAACTTTACACGTCATCCATTCGCTGCTTTTCGGTGTGAGATGGCATTAAGCAGGTAAATGTGTCATTTTGTCTATTGCTGGCTTTGTTTTTTTTGACTGACATTTATTCATAATTCATAGACTTTATCCAAACATCCGTAGAACGATTACTCCGGATCTTTTTTCGGCTGAATGATTAATTGCATCACTTGTATAAGAAAATGGATGTGTATATTGTACTTTGTGTATTACCCAACTACACCCAATCCAGATCTGATGAAGGTGCTAGGCACCGAAATATAGAAGGAAAATACTCTTGAGGGATTATGAATCGTTGGACCCTTTTTGAAAGGAATTTTTGGAATTCCATTTACTTTGAACAGGACTTTGACGGCTTTTGAAAAGCGAAATTCCTGTTGATCGTCTCGTGCTAGATTCTCCATAAAGGAAGCTACGCCCATTAACACATTCGAGGCGGCGTGTACTCCCGGGAGTACACGCGCCTCTACGAATGTTTTTTGTTCTTTTTCCTTTTTCGCTGACAGTTAGACATAAATAGTAGGCAAACATTATAGAAGTATGTCAGCACGTTCTTTGATTTATCATATATCATCATACCATTTCAAGCGACCACTTTAACCTACCATACTTGCCTGATTAACCAAAAAGCCGAGAAGTAGTCAGTGGTTCAGCGTGTAATGGTGGTGTCAGTACGACCCCACCTCCTAACGTTCCAATTCTTTACCGATTTTCCCCACCAACTAGAAGAACTTTTCCCAACGGTACAAAACCCTAAGCAAGCACTGTAACTCCCAACAAAAGAAACAAAGAGAAAGTAATATAACAAAGAGAAAGTAATATAAGTGACGAAAGAGGAAATGGTGGCTTTGTATATAACACATACCCGCTGGAATAGGAATCTTATCCTTTCAAATGTTTATTGCATTTCTAGGGACCTGCACTCGCACAGCTGACATGTTACTATTGATAAAAACCTGTAAAAGGGAAAGAAATGTTCAAAAAATGAAAGAAGAAACGACAGGCGAGTTTCAGTGAAATCGTGTTTGTCCCAAACGCGCCGCTCGTTTTTGACGAAACTGCGTCGACGCGAACAAGTAAAAAAGTGGAAACTTGCCGTACCAGCAAAATCGTTGCTAACAAGCAACTTTCCGCAACGGTACTATTTTTTAAAACGATGTACATCTTGTACATTAGATTTAAGCAAGGGAAAATTTTCCTACTTCCACCTAAGCTTACTACATTGCCTCAACAATGAGCGTCGCTTAGATATGGAGCGCTTTTTTCAGAAAAGTTTTAGTGGAAAGGATGGCGGCTCATGTATGAACTACAAAACGCGGTTTATTTTTTTCTTAGCGGTTCCAGGAACGCTAGAAAGAAGGGAAAAGTTTTTCTTCTCTTGTGAGGGCATTTCTACATTTCCCAGGGTCGTGATACGCCCGATTATACCTTTTCTTCTCTCTACAATCCCGTGAGTCCCGGGAGGTGTCAAGATTTCATGAACAAATCTTTCCGAGCCTCTGACTTTTGGACACGATTTTCGTTGTTACATACAACAGTGGTGAAAAGCAATCGCCGAAACGGTTTGACGGTCACAACTATTTCTCTCCACAACCAAATCGTTTCAAATTTCGATGTTAAACCATAAATGAAAAACAGAAGATAAATGTTGGAAATAAACGGCAACCTGTAGCAACTTTTCAGTGTCTGTCAGTGTATAACATTCACATTTGTCGAAGAGCTGACGAGCTTCTAAAGAGGTTTTCGACATTATTTCACGGGGACGGAAGACCTTCATGCACATTGACTCCGCCGACATCTGTTTCCAAGCCGAGACAACAACGTGGCTTAGGAGGAATTCCAACACGTGCACAGCACAGCAGCCAAATCGCTTCTCGTCTAATCTCAAATATACAGCAGGCATCTTCCAGCAAATCATTCATTTAATGATTTGCGCACTTCAACACGCTGCGCTGTGTAGTTCGACGACGTCATCCCCACCGGTTGCACTATCAAGAAGCACGTCTGTTGCGAGTCTTCTTCCAAAAGACGTCCCACAGCATCGATGACGTTCATGACCTATTCAGTGGGTCGGAATGTGTTAAGATGTAAGGCAAAGCTGTGAAAGATAGATGTCTGTAACACTCCTTCCTATCACTACTGAAGACTAACTACTACAATACAGTATAGTCGACTAGACAGATGACTGAAATCTGCGCAACCTACTTGACGGAGGCGCACCGTAAGCTTCCGAAAATGACGAATCGAATACAATTTACAGATTTCAAAGCTCTAAATTGTATATCTTACGATTCTAAGGGAAATATAGGTGAGATGATAATTCCTCCCTCACAACATCTACATATGCCACGTTGAAAAGATTTTTATATTATGACTGCTTTGTAAAGCGAAAATTAAAAAGTGTGATACCTTGACTTTTCCTTTCAGTTGTGAAGCGGCTGCCTTCCAATGAGGTTCGAGGTTTTTACAATGTCCGCACCATGGAGCGTAAAACTCCACAAGCCAAGAATCCTTGCTATTCAGAACGAGCTAAAAGTAGAGACAAAGAAAGGTCAATGCTTGTGCTCAGAATAACTGAAATCTGAACACCAATCTGCACATTCACACCTTTTCAAAGTTGGCATCTTTGAGTTCGATGACATCTTCGTTAGTGCCGGGCTTCTCAGAACGTCCTCCAGATTCGCCGAGTCGAGTATGCAGTGCCTTTTTTATTTCAGCAAGTGCAGCAGAGCTGATCCCTTGCGCAGTTCTGGGTCCTGAAGGTGAAGTAGGTAGAAGGCAGTGATCAATTTTTGTATCGGGTGAATATGAGGCAAGTGTCAATTTGCACTGCAGGTCATAGCTAAAAACAGATGCGATTTCTGGACACTTGAAATTACGGGTAGACTCTTTGTGAGCGCCACTCGAACAATATTTCTTGCAAATGTATGGGTACACCTTTATACGAAATTCCAAGATCCTGCTTCCCAAAAAGAAAAAAAAGTAATACCAGTCATTCTTATTTCTAATTCGCTTCCTTTTGGAAACGTAACAGAGA